ACAAGGGTGGAATATATTGAGACAACCATGACCTTTTAAGTTTAATAGTTGTAGCAAAAATTATAATTAAAGACTATAACTAAAAATTATAACAAAATAATATGGCTAGATAAGAGCTAGTTTTTTTGTTTTTTTTCTGGTACCAGGAATCGAACTCATGACCTTGTGCTTGCCAGGCAGGCTCTGTGCCGCTGAGCTAAATCCCCAGACCCTAGGTATGAGCTATTAAATGACTTAAAAGAGTACCAACCACAGGAAAGGGTGTTGGAATTCGCATGAATTATAAAGGCTTGCAGATTGATCCTAAATTTAGTTTGTTTTTCCCTTGCAGTGTCTTTCATGTGTAGGCCATGCTTTCCAAAATGCAACCTTGAGTTATTAATTCATTGGCTGATATAAATTGCATTAGTTCTTTCTTTATTCATCCACCCTCCTTGAGAATGCCAGTGGGTAATGAAATCCTTAAAATATGTAACGGAAAGAGAAAAGGAGAAGACAAGACCTCCCGAAGTGAATGAAAAAAAATGAACCTAGAATAATGGGAGCTGACGGTAGTGTTACATGTTATTTTCTATGGACGTAAGTAGATTTTAGAAATACTTAAAACCTGGAGAGGCACTAAAAATAAAAATGTATAACTGACGTCTACATTATATTGATAGTTACTACAGAATTTCCCCCTGTAAAAAAAGAAAAAAACAACTTCCGTTTTTCCCAAACCCAGTAGCAAGTGAAATCGGAGGTAAAGACTCTGGACTATCAGATAAACGAGGAGTGGGAGATGCTGTCTCCTTCCAGTGGGCAGCCAGCGTAGCCACCTCCACAGACCAGCTATCAGCCCTGTCTTCATTGGGTGAGCTCAGACAGTGGAAATAGGCATCAGCCGGGGAAAAGCAATTGCTTTCTACCCAAACAGAACTGCACTTGTACGAAATGATCTAGAAAGTGTGATGACAGAAGACCTTTCCAATTTGCTGGAGAACAGGACAGCTGTTTTTTTTATGTCTGACTTCTAAGACATCTAGGCAGGAGCTGAACAAACTGTGACAAATAGTGTCAATTCTAGTAAGTCTTTGAAATTCGCCTTCCCTCTGGTCACACACTACAACTGGCTCGAATTCATTTTTCATGCTTGAGATGCAGATTCTATGAATTATATATTTAAATGTGCTTAGTCAACAGTAAGGGCCTCACAGCAAGGAGTTCGATGCTTTTTGAAGGCAACTTTAGAGGAATATGGACCTACTGTTCTGTGTATCGACTGTTTCTGGTACAGTGTGAGCCCGGGGTGTGGGTGAAGATGTGGGCACTCCTGAGCTTACCAGGAAGGCCAAGATGTGGTGAGCAGAAGCCCTTTTTGAGTGGAATCCTATGCACTTTCCCAATTCATATACATATACATATATATATATATATATATATATATAAAATATATACACATATTTCCCAATTCATATATATATAATATATATAATATATTCACATATATATATATATTTTGTCTTTTTGAGACAGGGTCTCACTATGCAGTTCAGGCTGGCCTTGAGCTCACTTATGAAGCCTAGCCTGGTCTCAAACTTGTAACGATCCTCCCGCCTCAGCTTCCTGAGTGCTGGGATTACAGGTGTGCACCACCACACCCAGCCTGCAATTCATATGTTTGAACATTGATCTCTAAAATGACTATGTTTGGAGACAGGTATTAGAAAGGGCAGTTATGTTAAAATGATGGTGGATCCCAATTTGGCATAGTTAGTGTTCTTATTACTATGAGGAGATTTGGACATGGATAGGTAGAGGAAAGAAGACCAGGCAAATACACAGGGAGAACAGGGCTGCCCACAAGTGACGAGAAAGCCTTAGAGGATCCAACCTGCCAAGTCCAGTCCTGACCTTGGACTTCTAGCCTTCGGACTGTGAGGAAATGAATTTCTGTCACTTAAACTTCCCTACCTGTGCTAATACAAATTCAACAAGCTGTATTTATCAAAGAAGCTCCTTACTCCCCCTACCTGGGAGGAGATTAGCCTATAGACAGAAGTTTGGCGAACATCAGTCACTTCAAGGACTCCTCCAACAGGGGGAGGAGGGTAGGCAGTGTGTGACAGGAAGGGCATGTTTTTCTTATTTATTTATTTATGTCTTTTTGAGACAGAGTCTCGTTATACAGCTCAGGCTGGCCTTGAGCTCACTTTGTAACTCAGGTTGGTCTCGAACTCATGACAATCATCCTGCTTCAGCCTCCCAAGTGCTGGGATTACAGGCATGTGCCAGCACGCCCAGTGTTTTTCTTTTACTCTTTTTTTTTTTTTTCCTGGTACCAGGAATCAAACTCGAGACCTTGCACTTGCTAGGCAGGTGCTGTGCCGTTGGGCTAAATCCCCAGCCCCCAGTGTTTTTCTTTTTTAAATCTTCTTTTTCTTTATTATTACAAAAGTTTTATGTATTCATTACAGAAATATTATGAAGTACAAACCAGGCACATGTATGTAATCCCAGCACTTTGGGAGACTGAAGCAAGAAGATCTCAAATTTGGGTCTCATCGAAGCAACTTGGTGAGACCCTGCCTCAAAATAAAAATAACTAAATAAAGAGCTAGGGCTCTGTTTCACCGTGAAGACCCTGGGTTCAAACCCAGGGCTGCAAACAAAACAAAACAAAGCAAAATCCCAAAAGCAACAACCAAAAAGATGAAAGAGATGAAGAGACAGAACAGAGCTGTGTCCTACCACAGAGGGATAACCATGAGCATACTGTGTAAAGATATCCCAGACTTTTTTCTATAAACACACAAATCTATACACATCATGCATGCAGGAATATATAAATATAGGAACAAAATGGAGCAGTTTAGTTTTTGTGGTCATCGGTCAATGTCAGTGATTTCTCACTGATAGAGTCATCTCCAGTGTTCCAAGCTGTTTCATTACAGGGATGGTATTCTAGCAAGAGAACTGGGCTTTGGGATGTTTGGAGGCTCCAGCACATGGAAAGATGGAAGGGCTTTGCTGTCTTATTTTTAAGGCCATGCCTGTTTATATCCAGCTAGTCTATTTCAAGTGGAACATGAAGCCCCGTTACCAGGAACTCTACACTCAGCTGCTTTGGGTCTCCCAGCCAAATTCTTAGGCAGGACGGTGTGGCAACTAGAGGACACTGAACTCTGGTGCCACTGGTGATTCATGGAGCTGCAGGTGGCTTGGTGGAGGGCTGTGGCGTGGATGGAGGAAGCCTTTCCCACCTTAGCAGAGCGACAGGTGGAGGTCAGGTGCAGCAGGGCCAGCGTGTCTGTGGCTGAGATGGGGGCTGTGAACTCTGCCAGGAGGGCCCCACTGGGTCAGCCCCAGAGTGCTGGGCAGAAGGAAGAAGTGTGAAGGGACCCGCACTGCCCACTGCGAGGATTTATCCACCAGGGTTCTGAGCAAGCAGCTGGACCCGGGGCTGGCTCCAAGGGATCCCATGGCAGGGAGCCAGAGGTCACTGTGATTATGACCACTTCTTGTTAATTTTATCCCTCAAGCTTTCAGGGCCTGGGAAAATACAGGTTATTCTAGGGAACAGGACCAGAAGGACTGATAGCCTTTGCAGTTTTTCTGCGTTAATGGAAGATGCTATTTGATTTTGGTTCATTGCCCAGTAGAGGAGATCTCTGGGGGCATAGTTAAATGGAAAGCCAAGTTAATCTTTCAATGGAAAAGAAAATGTTTTATTTTATAAATATGAAAATTATGTGGCACTTGATAAACTGTGCTGGCAGTCAACTTCTGCTTCATAATATGATAAATAAAATAGGTTAATTCTTTTTAGGAGAAGAAGCTTCTTACACTTATTAGAAGACCGCAGAACTTTCTTTTTTCTTTCATTTCTTTTTTTATTGTTATTTGAGACAGGGTCTCCCTATGTAGTTCAGGCTGGCTTTGAACTCACTATATAGCAGCCCAAGCTGGCCTCGAACTCACAACAGTCCTTCTGTCCCAGGCTCCCAAGTGCTGAGATTACAGACATATGCCACTATGCCTGCAAAAACTTTCTACAGGGGTCTGTCTAAGGAAGACAAGCAGCAGTCTCTGATTTAGGGGTAGATGGAGCATGTGGAAAGGGAAGAACGTCTTCCTGTTGACAGGAAGGATATTATTGCCCTCTGACTATGTTTTGGGGTATCAGAGTACCCACTTGTCTGGACTTTTGCTAATAGATATCATGTCCGAATCAGAAAAATTATCACATTGATTTTGAAATAAACATATTGTAGATATGAGTGAAAAATTAACACCCTCTTATTTGGAGAAAAATATATACTTTGCTAAAATATATATATCGCCAAAAACATATACTTCAGGAAAAGGACAATAGTATATTTTTCAATAGACAGTGTTACCCACATATGGGGGACCCTAGAGGATGTTGTACAGCACAGAAAACCCACCGCATTGCTGGCCCTTTGAGAAGAAACTGAAAATGCGTGTGCAGTGATTTCAGTGACCAAGGTTACCCAGGCAGCAGTTTGCTGTACTAATAAATGTCTGGAAGTTGATAGCCACCACTTTGAGCACCTCTAGTAATGTAGAGGCCAAAGGTAACTTGTATTAATCTCATGACATCTCCATAAATTTAGAATTAAAATACTTACATACGTTTATCTTTTCCGGAAGTGTGACACATTTGTTTTGCAGGACTCTGCTGCATGTCCATGTGAGTGTGCGTGTTGCTGGGCATGGATCTCACAGCCTCCACTGTGCTGAGCGTTACCACTGAAACGCATCCCTAGCCCCTTGGCTTCTTTGAAATGTTGATTTAGTAGCCAAAGTTACTTCCACAAGTTAGCATGTTCTGTACATTTGCTTAAGGCAATGAATAAATTTCCAATACAACAAAAACAGTTTCTTTTCCGGATTGTTTTCTTCAGTCTCTAAGTGAGACCATGGAGAATTAATTCCTTCATAATCTAACTCACTATAGCCCATCAAATTAAAAATGGTTATGGAAAAAGAACACTTACCATCTATCACTGGCTTAGGCTGAGAGCTTTTGAGGCGCAGTGAGGGCCGGAAGCGGGTGCGGTCGTTGAAGCTCCAGCTCTTCTGTACTTTGGTGGGGCTGCCTTCGGCTGTGATGTCTGTGCTCGGGGACCTCCTGTCACCTACCGAGGCTTGTCTGCTCTTAATACTCTGGCCCCTTGGGCTAGCCATGCGCACTCGCTCCTTAAAACTTAGCTTCTGACTGTGGAGAACAGAGGCATGATTATTCCATTTCAAGCAATTTCTTCCAATTCACTTGAGTACTTAATTTGATGAAATTATATATGGTCATGTATTTACACAGATGAAATGTTTCCAACAAGCAGGAGCATAGAAGTGTACTTTGCCCTCATTGAAAAGTTGAGTTTTTAAAAATCTTTATGTTTGCATTCATTTGAGATCCATCTAATGCAGGTATATACCCTTCTTGGATTCATTACAGAAAGGACTAAGATCAGGTATAGCAGTCTGCACACAATGACACCAGGGATAGGCTGGTTTGCACTTCACTCTAAAAAGTGTTGGGTAGTTTTAACTTTAGTCTCAACTTTTAAGACTTAAACAAAGTTGTTTTTTGTTTGGGAGCATATCTCTTTGTGATTTCTAAACAGTTCTACATGACAACTGGGGTGACAGTTACATATATATATCCATTCAGCATGCATTTGATATACCAGGCAAAATTATGATATCCATAAATTCATGCAGTCTTATAGCAGTTGGTAGCACTGCATATGTACTGACCATATGACACTTAACAGGACATTTCTTTTACGCTTACATTCATTCTTTGCAGAAACAACCCACGCAAGGTCGAACAGCCTCAACATATAAGGAATATGATGAGTGATTAATGGAATGAGATGTAATTAATGTTCACTAACACAATTTCCTGTGGTTAAACAGGTTATTGATTTGCTGTGGCAGCTACTGGTAAATTACATTTGTTCCAACATTCAGTTGTCGGGCGCTGGACAGGGTTGAATTGTTGTGTGCTGACGGCGGAAACATTAGCAATAGGTCCAGAATGCCTCTTCACACTGTCTTAATCTAGAGATGAGGTTGCTGTGCTGGGAAGGGCAGGTCCTCATTTCTAAACTGGAGATAAAAATAGCCACGTAGCTGAGGGATTTGGGGGGAATAAATGAATCAGGGGAAGCTCTGCATACCCATTTCGTTCCGTTTCTTGTTTCATTTGTCAGAGACTTGCGCTATTTACGGGAAGGCAACACATTGCTATCAGTGTGGAGGGCCACGGGCTGAAGAAATAATGGGGCAATAGCTCCAAGGGGGAGTCCCTGGAGCAGCTTTTCTGAGTCATATGCAGCCTTTGTGGGGATGAAAGCAGTGCTTTCCTGGATCAGAATTATTTGACACAGAGTAGAAGCCTTGGTTTCCCCACTTACCGCCGTGTCCACCGTCCCCCCCTCCCCCGCAGCATGCCAACAGCAAATGTGCTCGGTGGTTATGTATTTCATAGCTTCCAAGAAACAGTAACACTGATCTTTCCATGCCTTTGTGCTTAAAAACGATGTTCTACACGGCACTGTGCTGTATGTGTGTTTACATGAAAACAAACCAAATCATGGATTATGGTGGTCAGAGTTCTGGTCATAGTAAACAAATGGACCATGCAACGGCCAGCTCCCCCTGTGATGCAGGCGCAGCCAGGTCCCGGACGAGCTGAAGGCGCATGCGCAGAACAGGCGGGTAGTTTTGTGATGAGGTCAGGGGAGCGGAGAGCTCTTTATGACAGTCCTGTCAGTGGAGGGGCTTATCTGCACCCGACAAGTATGTGAGTAAACGGTAGACTGTGTTACACAAGAGCAACAATAACATCATAAAACTGCATCTTTTTGTTCTCAGACTAGGTTCTCCATGTCATCCAGAAACCTGCAACTATTTAAACAAGTCTTCCAAAGGCATAGTGCCCAACAACACCTGCTTTCCTTAATTTTTTTAATAAAGAAATTTTCAATTTTTTTGAGGCTTTGGTGATGGAACCCAAGGCCTTCACTCTGAGCTATATCGCCAGCTGTTTTTAAAAATTTTAATTGTTTTTGAGACAAGGTCTTGCTAAGTTGTAGAGGCTGGGCTTGAACTTGCGATGCCCCTGCCTCAGCTTGAATCTCTTTTTGACTTTAACATATCTGCTCCATAATTTAAATTTATAATATGTGCTTCAGGAAATATATGCTTACTTCTGTAGCCTTATCTCAATTAATACATGGTCAAGTAGACATAACATCCTTACACAGGCCATCTCTATACTTATTCTTACTGTACTGGAGCTAACAGTAACTTACTATAGCAGGCTGGGTTTAGTAAATATCAAACTATTTTCTCAAACTTTCATGATGTCTCTTTCTAAACTAACTAAATGAACAGGAAACTGATAAAAGATCATAAAAACTTGGGTAATGAGAACTTTATTCTTTTTTAAAAAATTTCAATTACTAAAAAAAGTAGAAAGTATCTAGAATGAAAATATCAATTTTAAATCCACCATTGTTTATTTATAATGGTAAAATACTTAAGAATTGCTTCAATAAAATATATCCAAAATGACCTATGAAACCTTTGGATATTATCTCTATGGAATAATGGACAGTGAAAATAACATTTTCTGAATCTCAGTATCATTTAAAGCACTTAAAATTGACGTAAATCAATTCTAGACACCATTTCCCTTTTGTCCTTCTAATCTGCATGAATGTTTGCGAATGTCTACTAATTTAAAAAAAATCTCAAGAAGTATTTTGAAATAAACACATTACACATTAAGTTAAAGAAAACATGATATTTTCACTTTCTCTTTTGACAGAATTGTGTGATGGATAAGACTAACATCTTAACCCAGAATTTTTTAACGAGGCAATCAAAGATCTGTTGTTCCGTCCGCCCACAAAAAAACTTACTTTTGTTAGTTCTACTTCATTGCCCCTTTGAAAATTAACAGAGTATTTTGATTACATGATATCAAACTGAGTAGGTGGATGTTATGGAAAACACACATTGATTAGAAGCATAGATGCTCCCTTGGTACATTAAAGTTTCAATTATTTCCCTGTCTTTTTGTGTCATTTATAAAAGTCATTTTTAAGGGAGATTTATGCAGCAGTGATTTTAGGAAGAATGCCAAGGATGATCCCCAGGAGACCAACAAGCAGGTCTTTTTCTTGGAGAAAGTAACCAAAAGGTCACTGTAGTCACTGACTGGCGCATCTTTCGTGGTATACAAATCTCACATTCCCAGCGGAGCCCATGCTCAGGGGAGCCTGCAAAACTGCTCTACAAGGAGACTTCCCTCCCTCCCAGGAGCCAGATGTCCAAATTATTCAAATGGCCCAGCATGCGGTGGACTGCCGGATGCTCCCGGCTAGGGAACTGTGTGGTAGCATAAACCCACAGCAATTCTCGAGGACATAGAGTGCTGTAGTTATTGTTACACTTAATTAAAGGTTTAGCCCTTCCTGGGACAAGCATTCCGCAGGCTTTCCGCAGGCACACCAGGGCACATCCAGTGCGTGCAGAAGCCCAGCATTGTCCCACCACAAGGAGGCGCCAAGGGGCTGAGTGCCAGGGCTATGCGGGACCCTGCCTAGTCGTCCCAGTGGTGGAGAGGCTCAAAGCAGGCAACAGGCAACAAGGAGAATTACAGGCGGGCTGAAAACCTCATTCAAGAAGTCCCTGGGAAGTGAGTCTGTGAAGAGGGCTCAGGTGGGGTGGCGGTGTAACCTGGTCATGCACCTGAGGTTAGTTGGCATTCTCAAATCTCATGTCAACAGCCAGGATGCTGGGTACCTCTGCTTCCGGGAGGTGTACATTCTGAAGAGCTTCTGCTTATTACTGCAGAGCTTACTAGAGTGGGGGAAATAGAGCGGCACATTACTAAGCATTTCACCTCCAGGAACGTGCTTAGGGGCGTTTTGTCTCACTTTTTCGAAAAACACAGCCTTTTGGCTTTGTTGGTTTGTTTTTCTGCAGGTAAGTTCACAGACTATTTAAGCAGTGAGAACTCTGTAGTTTAGTTGTGCTGCTTGAAATACATCTAGGGTTCTTTGTTTGTCTGTTTGTTTTTCTGTGTGTGGTTTTCAGACAGGGTCTCTCTATGCAGTTCAGGCTGGCCTTGAGCTTACTTTGTAGCTCAGGCTGGTCCTGAACTTGCAACGATCCTCCTACCTCAGCCTCCCAAGTGCTGGGATTACAGGTGTGTGACACCATGCCCAGCTACATCTAGGGCTCTTAACAGGTTGAAATAACTGGCTTTGAAACAGAGCATTATAAATGATGGTTGTCTATGTGTTAGCATCTCTTTCCTCAGAAAGTAAGAATACAAATACTTTGGAACATAGCAAGCCCTGTAATGAATATCAATGTAACAGTAAAAATGCTTGAGGAATAAAATATTTCAGAAAGTTTAAGATGAAATATTTACAGAAATCAGTGAAGTAGATAACATTAATTGTTTTGAAATGGAAGACAGAAGTCCTTGATTTGTGTGAAACACCTGTAGTTATAGTTAATATATCATCTCTCAGCTAGAGTCTAAAAGAATAGAAGATTCCACACAAAGCATATTTCTTATTTGAAATTCTACAGTGTATTTTCAGAGGAGTAAATCCTTTCCCTCTATCAGTAAATGTGAGCAGAAGGAAAGACCATTGTGAAAAGATGGTTTTGAACCAGTCTAACACTTTGACAGCGAGGACATTAGTTGGCTATGCTGGAGAGAAGACAAAGTCGAGTCTTACTGGGCTTAGTTTAACACCACATGCATGTCATTCATTGCACGCAGAGGAAAGAAGATGTAAATAACAGAAAGCAAAAGCAGTAGGAATATAAGTCTCCTTTCCAGACTGTTCCAAAGTTCTGTCTCAAGAGCCATACCCTGCTCAGAACCCTGTAAAGCACCACACTGCAGCTGTCTAGACAAAGCGCTCAGTTGATCAAAGCACCAGTGTCTAATGGGATGAAAGATTATTATTTACACCTTAACTTTCAACGCATGCATCTCTGTAACAGTCTTCTAGTTAACTACTAAGGCAAATTTAGGGCATCTGCTGCCTCCGAATCTGAGGTGGTTCTACTGATGCTTAGTAAATAACTGCAAGTCAGGCAGCATAACTAGAAGGCAGGCAGTTGGCCAGCCGTGTTGATTAAGAAGGCAAGGTATGCAGAAGCAGTAAGATTCGCAGATAATCCCCAAACCTCAGAGGCTATGATCTGTTCCTGTAGCAATGAAAACTTAGGTAGGGAGAGGTAAAATCGTCTGATTCAGTGTGATGACTCACTGGCCACCATTTGGTGACCTGGGCAGGGAGGAAAAACTTAGGGCCCCTAGGTGAGGATGTTGGACTAATGTTTCCAGATGAATTCACAAGTAAATTCCAGTCTCTGAAGATGACAGTTTACACCACAAGAGAGAAACTGTCCAACTGAAGAAACCAATTAGAATATTATTAATGAGATTATTAATTAGAATACAATGAATAAACACATTTACCAGCACATGAATGAGAGCAGAGCTGTTTCAGTGGGAAGACAGAAGAAAAGAAATGAGTAAGAAAATGATGCTGAATACTTTGTATTTATGTTCTCAGTAAAGGAAGAACCGAGCAGGCTCAGCTGAGACCAACAGTCATTTGCACCTGACCCTGTACCACATAACCAAAGAAACATTCTTTTCACCATTACTCAGCAGAACTATATTTAAAAAAGCTCCTGTTGGAACTGGTGGTTTGTACTTGTCAAGAAAAACTGTCGCTCTGTCACAAACAATATAACATTGTTTCTTAGCTTGAGGTATTGTAGATGAGTTTTGTTTAGACATACCCTAACTTCAGTGTACAGAGAAATAATTTCTCTATGTAAAGAGCAGGCAACATAATTAACTACTGCATGAGTGTGTTTGACCTGCAGGCATTGTGCAGAAAGAGTGGGTGGTGGGGAGTAGAGTCCTGGCTCTTGCTCTGTAACACAGCCAGGGCTGTGCGAGGGCATTGGTGGCTGTTTTGAGTTTATCAGCTCATCCTACAATACTTTCAGTTTTTAACACAATGAAAAATCACAAGAGAAAGGATTTAGGAGAGTCTGGGCTCTGAGATAGCAGAAAGACCAAAATTTTTGTTTCTACTCAGTCTACAGCTTATCTGTTCAACTGATCTGAAATCACCATCAGTGACCCAATGGCCCCAAAGGTGGTAAAGGACTCTGCAGCTGGGGGTGCTCACTAGCTCATTTGAAATGAGGTCAGGCATTAATTAAGAATATTCCAGACCCAGAGCTACTCTCCTCCCTGGGAGAAGTCTCATTATAAATACATTTTCCTTTGTGCATATTTTGCTTGGGTAAGGACAAATTTGTAACTTTTGAAAATGGCACTGTTGCTACCGTTATTACAATAGCCTTTCTGTACTCCTTATGCGGCATTATGGATTCCACTATTCATGAAGCCAAGGTGAAAGCTAAGACAGCATTAAAACAGGAGCTTCAAGGTACACACTTTTGTGTCAGTGAAGAAACAAACAAACAAATGGAAGCCTTCAACTTATTTCCCTTAGATCACTGCGATGTTATTTTCATTTTCTCGCAATATTTCTGTTTCCTGTTTTTGTTTATGTTTTATCTCTCTTCATACGAACTAGCTGATGTCAGGGATAGTTTATCACTGTATCTAGGAATTGAGCCCATTCTCTACCGTAACTTCATAGTGCTGGCATGATAGATAGTGGGGGAATGGAAGCCAAGGTATCCAGGCTAAGTAGTAGGACAGGATTTGTTTTAAGGTGTTTTTTGCCAATTGTCTATTAATTGCAGAGCAGCAAGAAATTTCAGTGTGGGATTCTCTATGTCATAAACCCAGTTCATCACTTCTGTGCATATTCAGACCTGCAGGTGAGTTATCTTTGACAACCTCAGTTCCAGCACCCATCATAGATTTAAAGGTTTTAGATACATGCAGACATCAAGAAATTTAGAAAATTTGATGGGTAATCTTTCTGTATGGTGACAGCTGACTAGAAGCCTGACTTTTGGACCAGCGAGCTAAAGTTCCAGAGTGATACTTTGATTCTTTCTATGCTTTCTGCCATGTTAACATTTGGAAAACATTATTATTCCTCACTCGGGATTGCCAGAAAGGGTATGCTTATCCAAGCACCTGTACAGGATTTACAGACTTCCCCTTTAGACCACAACAGCTCCATTTGGGAGGATGAAACCAAGACAGGTGATCTTACTCTTAAATATTTCTGGAATCTGTGCCAATGGTGATCTGTCTCTGCCCTTACAATTGAGACAAGTCACCCTTGAAATAAGTTATAAATAGATAGATCCTGAGATGAGGAAAGCTTTTAAAATATCACCAAAGGGGCTACAACATAGATTATGATGGCTATGATTTATTTTGTGCAACCTTAAGAGGAATTGTCACAATACAAGGACAGTGGGGTCAGCTTGCCTGGTCCAGTGTCTATGAAAAGAATGTTCTGGGACTGACCAGAGCCTTTGTTTGGTCAGAAATATCTCTAAAGAGGAGTCAAGTCTTTAGGCAATTAAAATTTTGTGGATGTGTCACTTAGGAATATCTGATGTCCTTATGCTAACTGTATAGCTACTGACCAAGAGAGGTTCTCGAATGTCATCCTTAGTACATAGGTTGTCACCCACGTGGACGGCCTTGTGATGTGTGTTATACCATATCTACCTTTCTTCATACATGAATGTATTTATGTCTTGGCTTGGGAATCTTTTTAAGTGTTAATGCAGAAATAGGTAACTCGGAATCTCATCTCCTCAAGTGAACTTTCTAAACTGATTTCAGGGCTGGGTTAATATTGTGTCATTAATATCATCAAAACAGGACAAAGCTAATAGAACAACTTCTGGACAACACTGACCCCCACTGAAACATCAAGGAGGGCAATGCCTTCAATTCCTCTTTACTAAAACAAGTGGCAGTAAGAGAAAGTCACTTGTGTTCCTTCTTCCCTTCCAGGCACTTGCTGTTCTTTTGCTGTTTCTGCCTCTGCCACTCCTTACACCATCAGCGTGGGGCTCAGCCTGGTCCTCTCCTTCAGGACCTTGCTCCTAAATCCACACCCTTCCTTCTGCTTGTTAAACAAATCAGAATTTCCCCTTTTATTTTCTATTCCCTCTAGGTCTACCTCTATGTTATTTAATCTGACTAGGCACTTCCTTCTATAGCACACAGGAGGGACCAAGAGCTTTTGGAGAGAACTGGGAAGGATTTTCTTCTTCCAGAAGATTGGTGGTGGGGGGGTACTTTTGAACCAGATCACTGGAGTAAACCTCAGTGCTCAATGCTCTGGTGAGATCCACCTCTTGAACATAATGTGTCTCTTGCCAATACAGTAATGCAGTAAAAGTTCCTCGTCTCCAAAGAAGGACCCTAAGGAAGGAAAGGCTGCTAGCCAGTCTCAAAACATTCAGAAAAAATTCCTCTTTTTGAAAAGTTCCCTAGATTATTGTATTTTAAGTATCTGGAGGAGAATTCTACCTGGGAAAATGAAATTCTTTTGCCTGCAGAATATTCTACGATCTGCACACTCTTCAAAGTGGTGAGTGAGTTAGGGAAAGACACTTCTGCTCCCAAGAAGGGAGAAATCAATGAAAACCAGCAAACTTTGCAGGCAATCTTGTGAAAGGTCACTTTTAATCATCTTGTATTTGTTGATCGATTTCACTTATGAGATACATTTAAAGCAGCTATTAGGCATCAGATTTATAAACAAACATGTAACAAAAAAAGAAATCACAAACCTGCTTGCTGATTCCCCTTGTTCTTTCCTTCAGGTGCGTGCAGACAGAAGAGAAATGATGAAAGACTGGTGAATACATTTATAGCACTTGATAACGGCCAAATTGGAGATTGGGGAATTAAGCACAAGTGACCCTTTTCAAGTGTGACCCAGAAAAGCAGCATTATTGATAATAAATGTACCCACGTGGCATAGATCTGAGATAGTACAATATTTATCTGACAGATCCAATACTGCACACAAGTAGCCCAGACCTACAGACTCTTCATTAACTGAAGTTATCCATGGTTAAGCAGAATTGGTTCTGATCTAATCAGCATTACCAAAGGTTCTTACAAGGTTGCTGGTTCGATGTAGCTGTAGCCATTTTGCCCTAGGCAGACTTTTGGGTTTCCAAACCTGGATTCATTAATATGTGACTGTGGCTCTGTAATTCAGTCACTTGTTAAAGTAGATTTTTTTTATTGCATAAAATATGAATTTCCTTTGAGTAAATAATATACCTAGAAACTCTATCAGAACCCTTCTCACCTACTGTTGGGTGGCAATTTTAATAACTTATTTTAATGACTGTAGATCTGGTCAACACCGTGGAGGGCCACTACTGTAAAAACAAGCTAGAGGTCTCTGGGCAAGTATCTCACTGTCTTGTGAGTCTTATTTTCAAAATGACTAAATAGAAGGCAGTAGATTGAATAGTCTCCAAAATGTGACTTATTAAGGTGCTGCTGATTCCCCTCTATAAATCTTTCTGTCATCAAAGTGAAACTTTGACATAGTACTTGTCACACCTGAAAGGTGCATTTCAGGGACAGACTGGACCCAAGAAGAGAGAGTGAGAAAGTGCTGCATTGTGTCCCTCGCAGGTGTTGGGGTGGGAGGTGGCCTGTCCTGTCTTAGCCCTCTCTTGCATGTTTCTCCCAGCAATGAGCCTGTGGAGTCGAAATACCCTACAGATTTTCAAAACTCTGGGGAACCAGAGCATGGAGCTGATGTTCTTTAATGACAAAAATACTATTGACGATGACCGTGGTGATGATGATGTCACTGATAATCCAATCTTTCCCCTGACCACCTATTTGAAATATTACCTAAGCTTGTTCTTTATTTTATTTTTCTCCTTAGCATTTATTGCTGCTTGACATATAATTAATTTTATTGTCTATTTCTAGTATCCCTTGTTTATATACTGTCTGAGTCCTGAGATTCTAACCTTTTTTTTTTTTTCCAGACTGCTGCATTCCTAGTGCGTGGAACAGTGTCCTGCATGCACAGATATTCCATGAATGCTTGCTGAAGGGTTAGACTCTGAATGCTAAAGGGAAATGTGTGATATAAATAAAAAGAAGTTTGGTCTGTTTCTTACTACATTCTTCTCCACCCAGTAAGCCAGCTAACTATAAATGTAAAGATATTCCTTTAAGTCACTGTAAATATTCTCACAAATCTAGAAATTTGACTCAAGTAGGTTTTCCTTCTAAAGCAAAGCTCCTGAACTTGCCTTAAGGGAGTCTGAAAGTACGTTAAAATTGTAGGCAAAGTTTTGACTTTTTGGTGCATTGATTATTATTCTTGGGGAGAGTTCATAATTGCCATCATATTCTTTTCAACAAAGAACAATAACAATAATAACAACATCATCGACAACAACAATAACAACATCATGAACAGCAACAACAACATCAACAACAATAACAACAGCATCATCATTGATGACGATGATGATGACAACAACAACAACAACAACAACAGCAACAGCAACTAAGAACCACAAGAACCATGCTGTGCCCCTGGAGGAAGGGAGAAGTTGTCCCAATCTATGGAATTTACCAGTGACTGTGCACTGGGGACAGGTAAGTATTCAGCAATGAAACAGATAAGTATTCAGCAATGGGCTGAGTCTAGGGTAATGAGGATGCAAGGCAGGGGCAGGAGGGGTTGGATGACAGGCGACCTGGGACAGAATGAAGGAAGATGTTCAAATTAATCCTCCTCCACATCCACCCCACTAACAACAGAGACAATAGCAGAGGAAAAAAATTACGTGAGTGAAATCATAGTTCATGCACTGAGAGAATTTGACTCATTATTAAATAGATTTTTCCAGGCTTCAGAATGACTTTTAATCCAAAAACTGCAGCAAGTGGGAAGCCAAATCATCGCATATGATAACAGATCACTCTCTTCTGTCACTTGGGAACTCTCTACCGGTTTTCTTACTAACCTTTCTCTTTTACATTTACCTCAAAAACTTCTTGAAGACAAGAGCTATAATATCTTTATAATTCTCATTTTTTAATTTATAATGCAAGGAATAGATGGCATAGTTATATTCCTTTTTAAATTTTTCCTATAGTAAAACTTTGAAAAGATCCAACATTTAGTAAAAGGAGTGCAACTAAACTTCACGATCTAAATGTAAAGAAGGTGTCATTCCACACGTCCACTCAACAGCATTCAGGCATCTCTCCTTGCTCAGGATACTCCTCTGAAATCCCAGGGTGAGGGTTGCAAAGAATACCTCTGTGCTGACAGTCCTAGCCTGTAGCAGACACGTTCCTTTAGGAACCGTTTGCAAAACCTTTTCCCTTTTCTGTGTGTAAATAAGAAAACTGAATTCCAGAGCGAGACAGGGAGGCCACTTAATGAACCTGCCTGCTAGTAATCGGTTTGCAATTTTCTAATTGGGTACATGGTGCAGCCTCACAGACCCCCACTAGCACAGTCCTGCCAGGGACAGGCATAGTGGTGTCTTCAGCTGGTCTCCTTTGCAGATGGGTAAGATCAGGTGGGTCTTCCGAGTCACACAAGTGACTGTCTCTTGAATCCCATGAAACTCTAAGGTTAGGGTTTTGTTGGGAGGAAGATAGCCATGTTCTAAAACACGAAGCTAGACAAACAATTTAATACTTTTTGTGAACAATTTGAAGAACTGACTATTCTTATGACTTACTGGCTTTGAAGTCTCAATGAGGGTTTCTTTAATTAGATGGTGATCATGATTGAACATGTGCTCTGCTAGCGGAACTGTTGTCTAAAAGTCCAAGACTAATAATCTTTTTAAATTAAAGATCATTATGGTAAAATTAAGGCTGTTTATAATTCCTCAGCTTCTTCCTTCCATCTAGGTACATGGCAGGGTGGCACCTTCCGACTCTCTTGAGTTTAGAGATGAGCAGATAATTTGCTTTGGCTAATGAAATGTGAATAGACATAGTATTACTTTAAAAAATTTTGAATGATAATTCCAAATTTTAATCTGATTGGTCCCATTGCTTCATTTAAACTCTAATCCTACTACTCCAGTTTTTCACTTTATGGCTTCTGGAATGAATTTCATCTGCATGTGAAAGCTCCACCCTATAAGAGGTCCTGATGAGAAATGGCTTTGACAGACTCAAATGCGCAAAGATACATCACTCTCAAGGCCCTCCCCTCCTGAGGTCAAGTGAGTGGAAGATAATCCTTGTTTTGAAAGAACTGTGGTGCTTCCTTTTGGAATTGGGGTAGTTTTATGAGATGAGCTGATAGAAAATTAACAGGAAATGGTAGAAAGAAGTTTCTACAAAAGCTTGGGGATGGTGAGGAATGATACAGATTCCATTTAGGTTTGTGCTGGAGTTGCTGCTAAACAGTCACAAATCTCTTTACAACCACTGGAAAATAAGACAAGCCAATGTGAACACTTCTTCTTTTTTTTTGGTGTGGTACCAGGAATCAAACTCAGGACCCTGCACCCTCAGCACCCCAGGCAGGTGCTGTGCCACCGAGCTATATCCCCAGCCCAAGCGAATACTTCTTGTAAGTGAATATGGTTTGTTTAACGAGCCCCAACAGACCCGTCCACAGAAACAGCTGAGACACTGATACCTACTTGGTAGGGCTGCAGGTGTGCAAAGCCTTCAAGTGTGGCTTCCAGGTTGCAATGGAAACAGATTTCTCATCTGCTGCATAACTGCGCCAGACACACTGCATGGGGCATAAAGGAGAACATAAAAAAGAGAAAGACAGTAGGAAACAGAATGAAATGAAAGGGGAGATTATTAAGTTACTACACATTAAGAATCTTTTCCTCATCATACTTATCCTGGATGAATTCCCAAAGGGAAAAGACGACTTTGGCATTTCCAGCTCACTACCACAATTCCACCACATCAGAATTGCTTTTGGGAACAATGAACGTGAAAAGGCAAAAGTACCAAAAAATGCAACATTGTGAAATTTTTGAATTGGTTAGGGAAAGACACTTTAGCTAATAAGTAATCAGTTCAATATATACTGATGTCCAAGATACTAATTAGATAAATTACTTGAGCGTGAACATTCATGCCAGGGATTGTTTTTTGATCAATATTTGGTAAGAGAGAGGCAAAGAAGTACCAAAAGTCCACTACGCAGCTAGTGAACTAATAAACTAATGACTTCCAGTATATGCTAATAATTTTGTGAAATCTCTGAGGCTGAGTGATGGAATATTTCCAATGCTAAAAATGAAGACAGTGATAGGATGAAATGACATCATTGGAAGCCTCCTAAGGATTTAACGCCTCCTAAGAATATGTGTCATGTAATGTATCAACTTCTTACAAGGACTATAATTCTACGTACTGCAAATATGTATGCCTGAAAATAAAAGCAGCAAAAAAACAAGCTCTCTTTCATATAATCATATCTGACACATGTGATGAAAAACATTTTCATGTGACCCTTACAATTAAAGTATGGATTAAGACTCTCATTTTGCAGATGAGAAAACCAAGTGTTTAAGTAAATTAAATTTATACAAGGTTGGGGAGACAGTGTCTCCAATCACCTGGCTTTTGGTCCCAGCCCTCCAGAGGTAATTTTCTTGACTGCTTGCTGGCTGTGATTGAAAGAGCTTTCATCTGAACTGTGCATTTGAGTGACTGCCTGAACTTGTTTTCCCATATAAACTGTGGCCAATTTATCCTGTCGCAATGAGCCTGCAAGCATCTCTAATGACCCAGTGTTTGCTTCAGTCTCCTCAGAGAAAAAATTCTTATTATGATTTGTTACTCAGAATATTCCATTTTGTGTGGCAAATTTATTTAAATGGGTCATATCCCTACTATATAACCATCAGTCATGATTTTGAAACCTACAATGAAAAAAAGTGATCCAATTATACTCCCTTTCCTGAGAATATCATTGAGCAAATGTGAGATGAATGAAAAAGGTAAAAGCCAGCATAGGTATTTTGGAAAACTGTCTGGCAGTATCTATTAAAGGTGAACATTATATCCTATGATATAGCTATCAATTCCTAGATATGCTTATATGTGTTTAGCAAAAGGTACATACTATATATTGTGTTATAAATAGTGGATGTTGGTATGTAGAACAGTGAGGTTTGTCTTGGAACGTTGGCACTGTACATGTATTTAACTATCTTCATCTTTTTCAATCCCATTACCCTACTCTTCCATTTTCTTGTGTTCAGTCTTCTCTCCTTTACTTTATTTATTTATTACTTTAGGTATTTTTTACATTTCTCATATAAGAGAAAACATGTACTATTTTTTTTTTTTTATTTTAAGGATAAAAGGAGGGAAACATTAGCAGACATACAACATTTTACAACATATCACAAGCACAATACAGACAATACAGAGTT